TCTCGCATTCGTCACTACTTTTTGCTCATAGAACACCCAGGATATATCTGATCAAATCTGTCTATATCAACGTTCCTGAAAATGTACACCCTTATGGTCTAGTGGTTATGATTTCCGCCTTCCAATCGTCTGATGAACGTCATCAGAGAAAGAGCGAGCGGGAGACACGAGTTCGATTCTCGTTGAGGGTAAAACCCCCCCATCCAGCGCGATTAAATATTCAGCGAGCAAAATACTGCAAGATGAATTCGTATAGTGGTTAGTACCCCGCTTTGTGGCAGCGGAAACGCGAGTTCGATTCTCGCATTTGTCACTACGTTCTGTTCACAGAATCTCTAAAATATATCTGATCAATCCTGTCGTATCGATGTAGGAAATCCTAGTAACGTATCTCCCATCCAGCGCGAGGTCGGGGGACCAGACCACACCCGGGGTGGGGTGGGGTGCGGAGCACTCAACCCCACCCCTCCACAGGTCGTCGGGGTGGGGTTGAGTGCGGACTTGTGCGGAGCACCCAACTCCACCCCGCCACAGGTCGTCGGGGTGGGTTTGGGTGCGGAGCATAGAACTCCGGCCAGGTCCGCCCGAACCGAGGTACCGAGCCCCAGCCATTGCTAGGTTTGGGATGTAGAAGATGGCTTAGTGTAAGGTAGCGGTCCTTCTTTCGAGAGCTTCTTCAGCGCGTCCGCCCGATGATGGCGTTGGCGGGTGTGTAGTGGAAGGTGCCCGGGTCGCGGACCGGTGTGTTTGGCTGGTCTCGTACCTGTTCCCGCGGCAGTACGAGACGGTCGCCATCGAAGAGTCGCAAGAAGATTCGGCGAGGAAGGAGTGTCATGCTGGCGGGCAGCCGCGCAGGAGCGCCCAGAATTGGGAGCTTCCTCACCGCGAGTTTGGCCTTGGTCGCCGATTAAATATTTTAAATACTCGGCGAGCGACATTGCGCAATATGAATTCGTATGGTGGTCAGTACCCCGCTTTGTGGCAGCGGAAACGCGAGTTCGATTCTCGCATTCGCCATTACTTTTTGCTCACCGAACCTCTTAAAATACATTTGATCAAATCCTTCGTATCTTTATATTTGTTTTTGGCCTCTTATTGAGCTATTATTATTTTTTGTTCCTACGGGGATGCACGCGCCTTGACGGCGCCACGCGTACGGCGCGCGCGGCTCGGGACGAAGAACACAGCCGCCACACGACGCGCACGAGAAGTTCATGGAGGATTTTGAGCACTCCGTTCTGTTTTTTTGCCAAGTGGGGGTCAAGTAGGGGTTGAGAGGGGGCTTACGCGGCACGCGTCGTGGGCGAGCAGGGCGTGGACGAGCAGTGACAAGGGCAGCTCCGAAGGTTTCCGTAGAAAAGAGGACGCCGAGTATACCTGGCGTGTAGAGCGCGTCCGACGAGGACGCAATCCTATGGTATAGAAGGATTCCAAGCCCCTCTCGAGTCGAGGCTCGTTGTCACTCCAGGCACCCACAGAAAACCCGAAACGAATTCAGAGGAACCAACGTCGGCCGGTTGCAACGTCCAAGGCGGCCGCATCGGTGTGGGTATATTTGTTCCTTCAAAAAGCCCGTAAGAACTGGGCACATTGCGGAGCCGCGCTGCGCTGGCACAGGACGTGCCTGGCGCTAAGAGGGGCACCAGCCGCGATCGCGCTCTCTTGGTGTCTGATCCTGTCCGGCGAAAGTCCACCAAACACCGGCGTCGGTGTTTTGGAACGGCACCCTAATAATAATAATAAGAAATTACAGGGCAGGCAGACCAGGGGGCCTGCCATCCAATCCCGAAGGACCTTTCCCTGGCCTTGTCGGATCAACCAACCTAGCACGAATATGGTGGATTTAAAACAAAAAAGATAGATACTAATATCAATAGGTGAGCTGCTGTCGTAACTCATGATGCAATCAACCTTCTGAGTGGTTGTAAGAGCCGCAAACGACGGAACTTTGGACTCAATACGAGCAACACATGCATCGCGGGCCTCCTTGTACGCACCGCAAACGCCCCAAACGTGATGTACCGACTCACCGATTCTCTGACGGCAGCATGGGGTCGGCTTATGTAAATGTGTACGTGTTAATTGGCCTTTTACCTCGTGAGCATTATGGTTCTTCCCGAGGGCTCCACGGCAATTGCAGCGCAGTTTAATTTTGATTGCCTTTCCTTGGCGAAGTGTCCAATACAAAGCAGGATCACGCCAGAGATACGGGGATGTTCGGGATGTCGATTGTTACGTTCCGTACCGGACTAGATTTCATCCCATCCACGTCCAAAAATACCTTGAACTAATCCTCGCATCGACTCACCCTGATACTCCCGAGTCGGTCCGATCTACGTCCGATGTACCCACCGGCATCATACCACCAACGCGCGGCCCCTGCATGAATGTCCTCTCCAGGCGACTGTTGGCCGACTCCGTTGAAAGACTGTTCTTTCCTGTGCACCCTCCGGGAAAGAACGTCCTTTCCTCTTCGACCCGAAAAAAAAGGAGCCTTCCTAACCTATCATAACTAACAAAGTAAAGTAACAGTACTTGCACTACGCTGCCCTGGGCCTCCTGGGGACGCAGCGTAACACGATGACAATCCCCGCAATGCCTTGAGGGTCGTAGACTCTAGAGTCAGTGCGATCAGCATTCATTTTGCAGCAAACAACACATTTCGTGTTCCTTGGTGGTCGCAGCACAACTGCCAATATTTTGACGCCAGTTTAATGAAATCGATAATGGTTCGAGGTACGTAGTGGCGCTGTTGTCCACATTATGGCCACATTTGGCGGCAGGAGCTGGCTCGGAAGGCAGTGCTGCATACATTTGCTTCACTAGCCGGTTTGCCGAGAGCCCAATAATATGGTTCCTGAACTTAAGGGCAGCCGCTCGAGCACGGGACTTCTGGTCTATCAAACCGCATTCATGATGAATGGCCGCGTTGCTAGTCCCATTTGGGCCCTGAGGTTGAACCACAGGTCACGTTTTAGGGTCGTTCTCTCCGCGCATGCGGCTCTCTGGGGACTTCTTGGGCCCGCTTGTTGGTCTCGCCGAGCCTGCCATTCTGCACCATCAAGTCTCTAGGCAGCGCGATACCGGCGCCGGGAGACGCCACTTTGTACTCGCTGCTGGACATATTTTTGAAGGCTTTCCCGACTGGAACCAAAAGGTGAATATAAAGTCCTTATAATTTCGCATTTACCTGGGATCTACGGGGCACGGGAGCTCAATATTTACCCAAATTAGTTTCCGATACCACCAAAAGATTGACGCTCCGCGACCCGGCCACGGGTCCACAGATCGGCCACGGGGCTTTTAGAACGCGCGTTGGCTGCGACTCGGTCGGTCCTAGGGCACGGTGCATCAAACGCGGCGATTAACCTCACTGACCCAGGTTCAAAAAAGAGATCTACTGCGATGTCGTCGAAAGGTGCTATTATTGAAAACGACGTACATTTTAACTTTTTCCTTCCATTGGATTTCGTGCCTGCCGACGGATTCTATGGTTTTGCTAAGCAACATCCTCGATTCCGCCATCAGGCACGCTCCAGGGCATCAGAAAAAAACTTCAATATCACTCTGAGGATAAGATTTGTTTAATTACTTTTAAGCTTGTCGCACATTTTGTAAGCCTTTGAGATTCCGAGTCCTCTGCAGCCCAAAGTCAGGTGCTGGTGACGCAGCCGCTTTGGCAGGGCCCAGCCCAGCCCCAGACCCGCCCTATAAGCCCCCAAACATGCTCGGCGGGGGCCGCCGTGGGGTGCAATGGACTGTTACCAGAAATACGCGGATGAGCACTCCTTTCAATTTTCCATGTCAAATTCTCAAGTCGCCGTATTCGGCAAGGACGAAGATTTCGATTTTCAGTGGAAACTAATGGGTGAAGTCATGCCCAAGTTCGCCATTATAAATACCTTGGTCTCACTTTTTAGGAGGTGCCTTGGCCATTTCGAAGTTGAAGGTTCAACGGTGGCTAAATTGAGATTGAAGTATTTCGGTTCCAAGTTCGTCGACGATGGTCCGAGCACTTGCTTGGTCTGTTATAAAACCACCCTGCAAGCCGACAACACGAAAGTCAGCGCAAACGTCCAATATTGCGATAGCTGCGAAGGCGACGTGCATTTGGAGTGCGTAGGCAACGTACCAGTCCCACTCGGCGATATTCACTGCCCGGCATGCCGTCTTAAAGGTGCTCCATGCTTCCCTACTTTAGAGGAACGGATTATTATATCAATCCGGGAGTAGAGAAACGCCCCGGTGGCAGACTTGAATACCACGCCGTAATGGGACTCCTAGACCGGGCAGACGCTCACCGGAATGAGTACGTATTCACTCTCAAAAACCTGCATGAAATTATGGACAAAAACATGACCGCATAATCATTGAAGTACGGGGTCAGGCAAGTTCCGTTCTTAAAAACGGAGGACCCATGGGAGGTGGCAAAAGCTAGTACAGCGAAGAAATTGTCTACGTTGAAGAATCAACTCGATCTCGTGGGCTGCCACACAATGGGACTACCTACTTGGATTTCGAAGCAGGTTGTGCCCACATAAGTTGTCGCTGCGGCGATGTTTAATTCTGAAATTTGGCAGGGTGGTGCAACTGCAAGCCAATCCAGCTTGAGATGAACAGGAACTATAGGAGGCTAATCGACGTTCCAAGTAGAACTAGCAATTCAGCCATTCACCACGGTGCGGTTTGATTGACCAAAAGTTCCGTGCTAAAGCAGCTGTCCTTTAGTTCAGAAATCATATCATTGGACTCTCAGCAGACCGGTTAGTAAAGCAAATGTATGTAGCACTGCTTTTTGAGTCCAATCCTGTCTTAGAAAATGGTGAACATGGTTGCAATGTGGGTAATAGCGTCACTACGAACCTCGAACCATTGTCTATTACATTAGATTGGCGAGAAAATATTGGAATTTCTGCTGCGACCACAAAGGCACATGAAATTCGCTGTTTAATGCAAAAAGAAAAATTGACCGCATTGACTCCAGAATCAAAGACTCTGCTCGCCTTGCAGGGGCGATCATCGACACCAAAAACAGCTCCGTACCTCTGGCGTGATCCAGCCATGAACTGGACACTCCGCCAGGGAAAAGCAATTAAAATTAAATTGCGTTGCGTTGCAATTGCCACGGAGCTCTTGGTAAAGACCACAATGCTCACGAGGTTAAAGGTCGGTTAGCCCGTATAAATTCACACAAGCCGACTCCATTTCGTCATCAGAGAGTCAGGGAGTCCGCTCATCACGCCTTGGGCGTCTATGGTGCATACAAGGTATCCCGCGGCGCATGCTTTGCTCGTATTGAATCCAAAGTTCCGT